AAAAAGGCAAGACGCTAAAGATTTTTTTTTACTTGGCTTTACCGATTTTAAAGTATCATAGCAAACTATCTGTTGAAACTTTGTTACATTAAGGAACTAAGACATGACATACATTGTATTCAGTGCAATGCTATGGGGGAATGCAAATTATTGCGGATTATTTCGAAAGGTTCCCATCAGCTGACAAATTCGTTCTTTTTTTGACCCTTTGCACGCAAGAAACAAGATACTGGCTGTTATGTACCCTTGTATTGGATTGTGTGTTGACCGAACGTGTCTGTATGGGCGCTCTAAACTCCAATTTGCTTGAACAGTCGGTTCAACGCAAACCTAATCCTATGTGGGTTTGGGAAACTTGTAAAGGTTCGCACCAGCCTACAGCTTTCACCAGCAGGGAGTCTATTAAGCCTGTCACTTGGCATTTACACCCGCCCTCGTAATAAAACAACCATTAACATAGCCGTCATATCATACGCAAAAAAATAACCGCCTGTGTTTGTTTGGATAACCAATTTTATGGCGTTTTCAATCTGGTAATGGGTTCCCGTAACCTGATTAGATCCCGTGGACTCGGATGTGCGATGTCAAAAGATGCCCGAACCTCCTGCCATTAGCACGGGACGTCCAGCGTTCCTCTTTCGAAGGGGGATTGGGGAAAAGGAATCTTGGACCTGTAGGGCCAATCGCACACCCCACAGGTCGGCTTGTCTGTAAGGGCGTCATTCCGTGTGAAGTCCACAGCGATTACTGTTTTGATAACACCAGCGTGGTATGGTGCGCTGCAGCTGTCGACACGGTAGTTTACAAAATCGGTATCTTATCCTTGTGGGATGTCCACCCAGTGTTTGTTTTGCCAGAGGATAATATCTTGATATCCCGTGTATATTCATCCCGTGCACTTTCGCAGAATTTTCCAAAATGCCCACTGTCAATATTTTGTTAAAATTCGAACGACCGTGATTGACGGGTGAGGTTCACCTGCGATCTCTCATCGAGGTCCAATAATGTCGATCAACCACCCACTCAGACCGGATCGGTTGACCGTGAAGTGGACGGGACGGTCACGGCGTTGGTACCAACTGTGGCGCTATATGGCCCGGCGGGACTAATTTGTCAGCACCGCCCAAACTATTGTCGTCAGTCAGCGTGAAAGGTGGCCGGACCCGTCAATAATCGGTTTCAACTTGGTAAAAGAGCCAGCTGAATCATGAGTGGTTGCAGTGGTATGAATTTCATATCCCCAGAAAGTAAGTAAATAAATACGATCCGATAAATGAAAACCGCGAGGCGGATTGAGGCCTCACGAACACTTTATTTTCGAAAACAAGAATTAATCTTGAACCGACGAACTTGAATCGTACATTGATCCAGGCCAGCCTTGTTGCTGGTATACGATGGTCAAAAACAGCACTTTGTTCAACATCTTTAGCCAATTGATTATTGTAAACCAACATCACATCAAAAAAATCACTCGGCTGGGGCTCGAACCCATGACCTCTGCTTTCTAGTGCAGACGTCATACCACTCGACCACTCGGCCACCTGAGACGTCGCTGAAGTAACGTTAGTGTCCCCATGGAAGTAGAATTAGATTCTACCTCCATGGTGTCTTCATGGAGGTGTCTCCGAGGCATTGGAACTGGATTTACTGGAACACATTTTATAGCGCAGATAATGTATCAAAACCGTTGTTACCTCGAGGTTAAAGTCCGCTATCGTTATAAGCCCACGTGTAAACACCATGATTTTGTATTTAGGCTATGCCAATAACGGAACAATAAAAAATGGGCTTTACTGAAATGAATGTAAAGCAACCGTGTATAGTTACGTGTAAACATCAATGGCCCGCAGGCTACATTAGCCGTATATGATACCATTGTGCCCAGTAATGTTTGGTATTCAATAAACTAAGAAGTTTGTTTAGACGGCGCCATGAAATCGGGGGTATTATTGCTGGAAGATTGATAAAAAAATTTCTTTTAAATTCCGCGGCATTATTTCTTCAACCATGTATAATAAGCAATTGTTGACTGCTGTGATGTGGGATATGACGTTTTGAACACCCAAGGGGCGCATGGCACCCGAGGCGAACGGTGCTTTGCGTCCCTCGGGTGTTCAAAGCGTCATATCCCACACCTCGGCAGTCAAAAGTAATTGTTTTGTTATACCTCTGTCTTGGATTCTTTGGATTTTGATGTAAAAATCACGAAAACAAACTGCAGTGAACACAACAATCATGACAATTCACATGCTCGAAACAGCTGATCGTCTGCTAGTTCGCTGCTCCCACTCATGTGTGAAAACATGGTGAAAATATCGTGGGTACCAACGATACAAGCGTTTCATACCATACGTACCGTACGTTCAAAGTCATAGCACACTCCATGTGGGACCACGCGCGTGATCGATATCCCATATGATGGAGTGTGCCATGACCCGGGGCGATACCCGGGGGGTTTCCAAAAGCAGATGCCCCACCGGCCGGGGCTTATTATACCGGGACTTCCAGGCAGTTACCCGGGGACTTACCTTCGGGAAATCACTATGTACGACATGCATCGGAATGCGTGGGGATTGAGAAATCAGAAAATCATGAATTTGCTAAGGTATGACTGAGTGGCCTTAGTTTAGGGCATTATGATGCCAGGCATCTTTTGCCGGGCCATATGCAGGGACTTCCACATTAGGCCCGGCATACTACTAGGGCCTGGACTTATGCCCAGCGGTCGGGGGCGGGGACTTACCCATGGGTTTCAAGAAAATGTCTCCGCCCCGTGGGACTTGACTAAAAACTTACCAGGGACTACCAAGGGGTTTTCAAATTTCAAAATGGAAGTCCCCGGCTAGGACCCCGTTCCCACTTGATTCGCCAATTGCCGGATCTGATCCACCTTTTGCCAAATTGGGCTGGATCTGATCCACCTTTTGCCAAATTGGGCCGGATCTGATCCACCTTTTGCCAAATTGGGCCGGATCTGATCCACCTTTTGCCAAATTGGGCCAGATCTGATCCACCTTTTGCCAAGTTGAACAGGATCAGATCCCCCAACTGGTGGATCAGATCCTGCAATTGTATGTAGTGGGAAAGTCGCCGCTAGTCCAGGGTCCCCCAGGGTGCAGGTTACAATTGACACGTGCAATATGTTCCACGTATGCGTATTATTACGGTCAATAACTTCACCGAGATGCAAAAAAAGTAGCCTTCACAAAAGTATTCGACAACTTCATGGTGAACCAGATGGTGACTTGGATGCAAGAATTTGAAAATTTCCTAATAGGGCTCTCGTACTCCCAAAGTCGGAACAAAGCTTTTTTTTTCGTTTATACACAAATCATACAACTTGAAAATTCGTCAGGGGGTAAAAAAAATAATAACTTTTTGAAGAGCATGGGAATTGCAACTTGCAGTGTCGAACTCAATAACCCTTGTTCATCGCGTGATATCGATACTGAACTTGCAAGTTGCAGGAGACTGAAGTTGCAGGATTGCCCGCAGTGATCCGAGTGACTTTTAACTTCTCAGGGGAATGCTCCACGGAGACGATATTGTCAACATAATTTTAAAGTTGTGTGAAGTCATTTTTTCGAGATTTCGCCGTCAGAAACATTTTGGTGGTAAACCTGCTAGATACGTGATTCTGTTGGTACAGGGCGTTTATCACAACCATGGAGGAATACGAACACATCCTCCATGACTAACCTTTTAATACAACAGGTTTTCGGTTTCAAAACGATGTTAATGTTTCAAGGGACTTGATGTTACTTCCGGCATTGATATTTTTTCCCTTTGAATTTTGGTCGTGAAATTCCACATGGGATTTAGTTGTCAGGGGGACTGCTTTTGGTGTTAAAGAATAGTCACCCTACCGAAATAAATGGGATCACTTCCAAAGTCGTATATAACCCAAGTTTGAAGTTATTTGGGCGAAAAGCAAATAAATTTTCCAGACGCTCTGGACAGGGTTTCAAAACAATTTTATTTCTCACGATTTAGAAAACGCTGGAGTCTTTTTTTTAAACTACCAATCAATCACGTTTATACTAACCAACTTTATAAACCGGGGGCCTGTTTTGTTTGGCAAACTTAAAATGTCGACGTCTTTATAATTTTTTTAACAGCGTAAACACCGGCGGACCTAGATCAGTCCGGGGCAGCCTCCTTTAGGGGCGTCAAACCCGAGAGTAGGTTGAGCACATGTTGAGCCCTAACTGAACTCAATCCATCAAAGCACAACAGCAGGTTTTGTTTAAATCTGTTGGAATAGGTACAGTACGTACCCCTAAACTGATGGTCATTTACACTGGGTTTGGCATACCTCCAGAAACTAAATCCAACAGTGTGTGTGTACAACTTCCCATGCGGGTGTTGGAATTTGCCAGAATGGGTATGGTTCCTATAAATAATGCCATTAGTATCGACGTCATAAATAATATTTTGAGAACTTTATTATGAGAGGGCATTATCTACTAAAAATCCATTAAAAAAAATGCACCAGCAAAATGTAAGAATTTGACGTACATGGAAACGGTCTCCCCCTAAATGAGAAGGGTGCATTTGTACACCTATATAGTTAATATAGTGTGCCTGATTGTAGGATTTTATCAGCGCTTTCTATTGAAAATATGGTACGAGCCCCCCACCCACCCCCACCCCACCCCCGCCTATTGATTTTCAGAGGCCTAAGTGTCCGGAGAAAATAATCGGTCTACATTTCAGCACGCCTCCCTGAAAACAATTTTGGATCCATCTTGCTACCCCCCCCCCCCCCCCCCGAAAAATATTGGCTCTAGAACCGCGCCCGGTTATCGCCGGTGTCATTTTTACGTAGAGAGGAAAGGGCCTTTTCCGGTGGGTCAAAAGGGGAGGGGGTAGGGGAAGTTTCTGTAAGTAGCACCACGACAATTGTTTTTAATCAAGTCAACAAGTGTGCTAACAGTAACACTTTGGTTAAAACAGAATAATGATGGGACTTTGTTTTCACAAACCTCTCTCGGTTTCAGTGCCTTACCCCGGACGCTCTCCTGGACATCTTCGATATACCGTCCTCCGCGTCCGGCCTGACGAAGGTCCAGTTCCTCCAGATTTGCCCGGTGCTGCTGCAGCAGTTGGACAGCCACGTGTGCATGCAGTTTGACGTGAGCGGTCGTGAGGAGCATCATCACGATAGTCACGATGACCACGAGGACCACGAAGACACGACGACGCACGGGCATCACGATCTGAACGCGACGGGGAGCGGTGCAGGCCACCACTCTGGACACGGTGAGTTCCTTATACTTGGCGTGTTTTAAGATCGGTTCCAGTTCACATCTCGCCCTCGAAGGGTTTATTTTCGAAAAAAAAATGCGGGGGAGAGTTTTACTGATTCAGTAAGAATGCACATACCAACTTTGTGTTGTCCACTAAGTCTTATAGTTGGTTGTTTGGGGAATGGATGTTAACAATCAATGGTTGGGGGAACTCACAGAAATATTTGCATCCGATCACCAGTGGCAATTTGACTACATTTAACTACGAACTGTTTTTACCGGCAGGTGCACGTTTAACTTTTTTTTCTTCTTCTGAGGAACCATGTTTTCTTTATTGATGAGGTCTTCTTCATTGTTCTTCCTGCAATGATCCTCACGTGAATAATAGTTACCACTCACCGGGTTGCATATAGTGAACATGCCCTTTAAGTTTTTTGTTTTTAAAGTTATAACTTCCGATCCCCTCCCATGTTCTCATGATTCTTGTAACTTTTTGTTAAATTGGTTTGACCGATAATTGAAGTCCATTTAATATGATATCCTCCCCATGACTAGTGTCGGGCAACAGCACAGAAGCTGGAAATCTCATCAGTCCATTGACCACACCCACATTTGACTTCTTTTCTCTTCCAACCCTTGTGGTTTTTTTTATGTGTGAGGACAGGGAATAGCTTCAGTAATGCTCATCAGTCCATTGACCACACCCAATGATTCCAGTTTTTTGAATGGCTATTTTCCTCCCTCACCCCTTGTGATGTTCCAATATGGGGCTACAGCATAGCAGATCAATCTATCAACCACACCCAGGATGCCCATTTTATTAACGTCTACACCCCCCCCCCCCCATTCCAGTATGGGGCTTCAGTATAGGAGATCAGTCCATTGACCACACCCATTGACCACACCCATTTCATTAAATACTATTTTGTACCAACCTCATAAATATTTCATTATGGGCCAATGGTACAGCAGATCAATCAATTTACCACACCCATTGGCCACACCCATTTTACCCATTTTATTAAACACTACTTCGTTCCCCAACCTTGTTAATATTAAAGTATTTGACTACGGCATAGCAGATCAATCCATTGGCCACACCCATTGACCACGCCCATTTTACTCATTGTATTACGAAGACTATTTCCTTCTCCAACCTTGTAAGTTTCCAATCTGCGGCTACGGCATAGCAGATCAATCCATTGACCACACCCATTGACCACACCCATTTTACCCATTTTATTAAACACTACTTCGTTCCCCAACCTTGTTAATATTAAAGTATTTGACTACGGCATAGCAGATCAATCCATTGGCCACACCCATTGACCACGCCCATTTTACTCATTGTATTACGAAGACTATTTCCTTCTCCAACCTTGTAAGTTTCCAATCTGCGGCTACGGCATAGCAGATCAATCCATTGACCACACCCATTGACCACACCCATTTTACCCATTTTATTAAACACTACTTCGTTCCCCAACCTTGTTAATATTAAAGTATTTGACTACGGCATAGCAGATCAATCCATTGGCCACACCCATTGACCACGCCCATTTTACTCATTGTATTACGAAGACTATTTCCTTCTCCAACCTTGTAAGTTTCCAATCTGCGGCTACGGCATAGCAGATCAATCCATTGACCACACCCATTGACCACAACCATTTTACCCATTGTATTAAAAACTATTTCCTTTCCCAACCTTGTAAGTTTCCAATCTGGGGCTACGACATAGCAGATCAATCCATTGACCACACCCATTGACCACACCCATTTTACCCATTGTATTAAAAACTATTTCCTTCCCCAACCTTGTAATTTTCCAGTCTGGGGCTACGGCATTGCAGCAGTAACCCTCATCAGCTTGGCCTCCATCACCTGCATCCTGGTTGTGCCTTGCATGCAGCATTATCCCCACGTCTACCACCGTCTCCTGTCTGTCTTGGTTGCCATGGCAGTGGGCACGCTGGCCGGCGATGCCATGATGCATCTCATCCCACACGTGAGTCATTTTTCATTAACTGGAATTTTTTTCAAAAAAAAAAAAACAGTACAAAGTTTACATCTCTCTGACGCAAATTCCATCTCACATCTAGAAAGTTTTAGTATGTGTCCAGCGTTATTCCAGTGTCCAGTCACAAAAACAAATTTATTTACACCCTTGTTTGCATTGATGATGCAGTCCCTGGGCATCCATGTTCACGACGACACCAAGACCCAGGAGGAAGACGGCCACGCCCACGAGGCCTTGGAGGCAGAGAAGCAGCATGCCAGGAATGCAGTCTGGAAGGGCTTCTTCGTGCTGCTCGGCATCTTCATGTTCTTCATCATTGAGCAACTCATGGCGTCCTGCCAGCAGGCACGGAAAGACCGAAAGGTAGGACCAACAAGTTCCAGTTCGGCTCCCAATCAGCTTTGTTCTACTGTTTTTTAATGGTCCCGTGGTCAGTTTAATTTCATCAAGGCACAAAAAAGAAGGTATGCTGTGCAAAAATCAGATAAGAGCTCAAATGTCATTTGATACACTGCTTGATTCTCTGCTATTTCTGTCATCAGCCACCATTGTGCCTTATAATTTTTAAAGTAATGCACTGTGTGGAAACTGCGCTCAGTTTAATTTGTGTGTCTGAAAGCCACCTTCAAAGCCATACTGAATCCTTGTTGAAAGCCATATCTAGTGTCCTTATACTGTAACCTCGTGGTCCTGACATTCCAACAGGCGAGGAGGAAGACCAGACAGCGTGCCGACAAGAAGAGCAGCAGCCAGCGACCCTTGCACAGCAGCCAGCGAGAGGACGGCAGCGACGACCAACAACAGGAGGAGGCGCTGCAAGGGGAGTACAAGAAGATTAACGGCAGCGAAGCCATCGGAGAGAAACTCTGCCACCACTGCTCGCCGGCCAGTACCTCCGCCGTGGGATCCAACAGAGAAATCAGTAAGAACTTTTACAGATTTTTCAGAAATTTTTTTGGAAGCAGGCTGCAGATGGGTTTATACATTGCCAGTGATTTTCAGTTTGAAAAAGTTGCAAACAAAAATGGACAAATTTCAGGAAATTCTTTACAAAATTTAATGGAAAGCTGATAAAGGGTCTAAATATTGAAGATTTTTTTGTTATACCTTGCCAATGTTTGTTTTTCAGTCGGAAACTATTGAGAAAAATGGACAGATTTCAAGAAGTTTTTACAGAAAAAAATCTATAGAAGGCAGGCTTGAGATATAGTCATGCTCATGGTAGTACTTTATTAATGCAAGTATTAAAAAAAAATAGATAAATTTGTTGGAGAGAAACAAGCTTAAGTACGAGTAGTTTGTCAGGTTTGTGAATCAAGATATGATTTTACAAAGCTGACATTGTATTCACTTCCTACAGCACTTTGTCAGGGTTGTAGACGTAAGGTCGGAGTCCTCACAAAACCTTACAAGTTTATCACAAGTCATTTACAAATAATCCAGTATTTGAGTGAAAAACTGCGATGAAAGCATTCATTTGTCATTATTAGATTCATCCCCTCGTATCCGTGACTTTACTTGTGATTTGACTTTTGATTTGACTATTGATTGACTTGCAACAGACTTGACTACAGTTTTTCTTTTCTGTCCCGTCTTTTTTGAACAGTAAGAAACAGCATGCTCCTTCTTGAAGACTTTGAATTGCAGAACGGCCGCGTCGACCCAGCCTCAACTTCACACCACCATCATCACCACCACCATCACGATTGCCATGACGATGACCCAGAGATGGGCCCCAGCCATCACCACGGCCACAGTCACGACCCCCCGGCCCCGGGGGACAACAGCATCGCCACGCTGGCTTGGATCATTGTCATGGGGGACGGACTGCATAACTTCTGCGACGGGCTGATCGTCGGGGCTGCATTTGCGGACAGCGTTGCGGGGGGACTGAGCACGTCCATTGCCGTCATGTGTCATGAGATCCCACACGAGTTAGGTATGGAAAGGAATTAGAAAATAATTGTGATTAATAGATTTTTTTTGTGAGTTTTGGGGTTATTTGTTTTCTTTTTTTTAAGTTCAGCTTCAGGAATTCTAGGAATAATATGTTTTTACTTGTTATAACCATACTTCGAGAAAAATATTTTTTCGATCTTTTTTTTGGAAAAATGTTATTTGAAGGACAAAAAGTTTTAACTAAAAACAGTTGAAACTTTACTATGCTCACTTTTATTTGCAGATTGAATAGTACGGCAGATAGGTGATGGGATTGTGCCTTTGATGATACAAGCATGGCATTTGGCACACAGTCAGACTATGTCTTAAGAAAGATATTTGGCCATAGGGCCATCGCAGATTTGTCCTTTGATAAACTATAGGTAGAATATCAAGCAATGGCAGCCATTTTGGAAATTTTGAAATTTGTTTGTTAATCTACCTTATTTTAAGTTATTGTTTGCAAAGGACAAATCTGTGACTGCCCTATAGCCAAATTTCCTTCTTAAGACATACTCTGTGCCAAATACAATGCTTGTATTGTCAAAGGTACAATTCCCCCAAATACATCCACTATCTGCCCCACTAAAAACCACTTCTTTATTTAGGTAAAAATTGTATTAAACAAGTTATTCATAAATACCTCAGACAGTTTAGCTATTCCTATTGGTCGAGAGCCCGTCACGTGGCAGGTCTTAAATGGATGATAAAGACATGGCTAGCTGGTCTTAAACACTTTTCCAGTGTCACAATAAAATGTGGACTCCTAAAAATCCAGTGCCTCATCGTTTCATTGGTTGAACGTTCACAATCCTCACGTAGGCATGCGCAACACTACCAGGGAGTCAGAATTTTATAGTTCTAAATTCAAAACGCAACGTGCCAGGTGCGTTCTGCGCGACACCGCGCAGAACATGATACGCGCGCGTCAATCTCCATAAAAGGGTTGTTTACATCTTACTCGCCAGCTGAACACTCCATTATTTTGCAAGAGGGATGTTTCAAAAAGCATAAAGTGAATTTGTTGAACAAAATCGGGATGTTTCGAACGAATTATATGATTTTTTCTTACCGAAAAGGTATTTATGAATGGGATTAATATGTGCTCCGTCGGTATTTATCACTCTGTTTAAGACCACTTAGAGTCTGGGTGCTGATAATTACCATCACCTCTGGCTCGGGTAATTATCAGCACCCAGACTCTAAGTGGTCTTAAACAGAGTGATAAAAACCTCCAGAGCACACATTTATTCCCTTATTCAAAAAAACAAAAACAAAGTCAATTATATCCAGGTGGTCGACCCCATACTGCGTATGCAGACCAAAATTCACAAACAAACAAAACAAAAGCTTTTTGGGGATTGGAATGACTAATCTGTAGGCTGTAACTACACAACACATTGGGATTATGCTTTGTCCTCTGTAAATTTGCACAAACTGTTGATATGTTGCCCCTTATTGTTATTCCTAGGTGATTTTGCGGTGATGCTGAAGGGCGGAATGTCCATCAAGCAAGCGCTGTGTGTCCAGGCCATTTCGTCCGTTCTAGCCTACATGGGTCTGGCCATCGGCATCGCCGCGGGAAACGTGGAGGCCGTCAGCATGTGGATATTTGCCCTGGCCGGGGGAATGTTCGTCTACATCGCCCTGGTTGATCTGGTAAGTGGGGCTTATGGGAAGCTCTGGGTGTAGACCAGTTAATAAATAGCCACCAATTATAATGTCTTCAATCAAAAAAAAAAATCAAAAAAAAAAATCAAAAAAAAAAAATCAAAAAAAAAAATATCAAAAAAAAAAAAAATTCAAAAAAAAAAAAAAAAAAAAAAAAAAAAAAAATTCAGGAAAAGAACAACTCTCCAAAGTGTTCAAGACGTGCATCAAACCAAAGCTTGATTCACCCTTTAAGATGATCACCTCTATATATATTGGTTTATTTTCACTCAACTCGTGGCCCTCAAGCCAAATTGCAAGAATGTTGCAATATAAAAACATTACAAAAAACACACAACAATATAGTCCAAATATGAAAAAGAAAAAATAGGCAAAAGTAATGGCCCAGCCAAAAAAACAAAACATAATAACAAAAATTGCACACACTTGAATTAAGTTAAGTTAGATTAATTGATAAAATTGACCTTTAAAATGGCACAGCCATCAGGAATAAGGTATTGCACTAAGTACACAATAGACCCATACGTCTATATGGGTCTATAGCATGATATTTCATGAAGCGCACAGCAGACCCAGACATACATGTATTATGAAAATCAAGAAATCAACCTCTAAAAGTAGTCCAGAAGCCCATCGCCGTTTTTTTAAAAAATGCCCCACAATTCATTGTGAAATAGATCCAATTTGGGGATCTATTTCATCCCAAATATCTCAGAATTTTTATATATATAAAAATATATCTACAATTTCAAAAACCGGTTGAGAACTGGAACCCTTCACGGCTACAAACACTGAAGTGCCAGGGCCAGAACTTGACATCATAAAATTAGCAAATTGGTCGGCATAGCCAACTTAATTGGGGCCTTTACTGGTCTATAAGCTTCTGGTGGAAGTTTATAAGGGCCATTTGAAGGTGTTTGTTTGTATTCCTCTGTTTGAACTGGCGTGTTAATGATGTTTGATTGTGCAGGAGTGTCATTAGGTGTAAACTTTTATCTGGCAACTTGTTTGACTGATAAGACCACTTAGGTGCTGTTTGCAAAACTAGTAGAGTGCAGTAAGTTACTGGGCAGACTGAGTGCAATTAAGGCTATGAATAACCACTAAAAATGATGTCACGTTTCTGTGAAATTGTGCATTTGTTTGGATTAACGCAGATTAACGCCTGAAGGCCAAAGGAACCTTTTTTAAGCATTTTAATAAACGTTTAGTACCATTTATGCTTAAAGGGAATATACAACATTTGAAAACATCAGAAAACAAAACTACCAAATTATCACGAAATACCTTACTGGACTGTTAGTGAATGACGGTCGAAAGCATCCTGTACAATCGTGGCACCTGGTGTGCTGACGTTTTCAAGAGAAGTGGTATTTTTTGTATCAATGTCCAACGCTGGTCGGCTGACCAGCGTTGGAAAAAAACTCTTTTTTTTTTCATATACTGCTCCCAATTTATCATATTTAGTTAGTCCGCATTTTCTTTGCAATTGATTGTGCACCTATATACGGGTACAAGCCTGCTAGACTGATTCCCTGACCTTACAATTCCTGGACGTCTATAAATTGCTCCATTTCATCTTAAGAAGGGCCAGAGAGCCCGACTACAAGAGCATGATTGTTTTTCTTGGTTTTTCTTAGATCCTTTGTAGGAACAGTACCTGTTTACCAATTCAATGAGAAAATCCTTGCTCAGAGTGAAGATAGGACTGGTATCAAAAAGTCTGTGAAATTAATTAGCTGCATAATGTGAATCGTTACATTCTGTGTTATTTTTCAAAGCTTTTACAGATGTTTGAAAGTAAATGCATCATTTGAAACAAAGTGTACCGCACATGTAGTCAAAAAATTACAATTGCATTTCATAATATACAAGATACTGGGCACAATTAATTTTGGTATGGGCTTCAGCCGAACACTAATTAGTGCCTAATTAGCCGTTAAAGTGACCCAATTTTCACTGTATTATTGTAATAATGTGTTCATTTCTGCTTCGTATATCACTGCCTCTTGGGTTACAATAGTGCAGTAAAAATTGAGTCACATTAACAGGCTAAGTAGGCAAATTAGTATTCGGCTGAAGCCCATACCAACATTAAATGTGCCCAGTAACATGATGCACGCGACAAAAACATGGTTGGTACCCAGCATTTTTTTTATAACACCATTGCCTGAAGGCCAAAGGAACATTTTTTAAGCATTTTTAAAAACCTTCAGTACCATTTATGCTTATAGGGAATATACAACATTTGAAAACATCAGAAAACAAAACTACCAAATTATCACGAAATACCTTACTGGACTGTTAGTGAATGACAGTCGAAAGCATCCTGTACAATCATGGCACCTGGTGTGCTGACATTTTCAAGAGAAGTGGTATTTTTTGTATTAATTTCCAACGCTGGTTGGCTGACCAGCATTGGAAAAAACCTTTTTTCCATATACTGCTCCCAATTTATTATATTTCGTTAGTCCGCATTTTCTTCGCAATTGATTGCGCACCTATATGTTTAGCACACAACACGCCCGCACGCAGTGCAGCACGTATACTGCGTGCTAGTACATTGGCCGCCTGTATCGCATGCAGGCTCAGCAACAACAAAGACTTGTTTTTAAGACTACTTCAACGAACAATGTTGTGTCGCGTGTGCGCAATCCTTGCAACATGTTAACTCGAGAGCACCAACGAGGTAAAAATCAACGCATTTCCACAGTCCTGCTTCTCTTTTTCCAGTTTTTTTTTTTTGACGGCCGGAAAAACCAGAATTTTGTGAGATTTAAAAATAGGAATTCCAGTTAAAACAGAAAAAGTGGCATCTCTGTAGACATTACACTGGTCTTCAGCACACGTTTCCCTTGGGTTTTTTTTTCCTGAGGGTCATATATCATGCCCATTCTAGATTTATGGAAAGTTTCTTTTAAGAGTTTTGGGGGAAACAAATCTGAATATTCCGGTTGAATCTAGTACATATATTTCAAAAAGGAAACAAAAAAATGTCAGCCTTGGCGGGATTTGAACCTAGGTGACCTGCGGAAACTCGACTTATTAGGAAAAATGAGAAATCCAAGAAGCAACCTTGCTTCGGAAATTATTAACAGTATTCAAGTTTTCTTCAGATCAGCTAATTTTCTCTTCATAACTTCTTCGTAAACCAGAGAAGTGGTTGTATATCACCCGGAACAGGAAACTGTTGTTGAATCGTGTGCAAAGAAGCTTTGTCCTTATCTGTTATCGAGTATTTATTAAATACCCCTTGTACCCACATTATCTCATCATACAGACTAATTGTGAACCATTTTCAAAGTAACTTGTTTTATTGTGTTCCAACCAAAGTACAAGCTTTTCAAACAAAAACAATTCTCTTGACCTTTTTATGACTATAGGATTAGATACTGGATTGCGAGCAATGTGCAAAACCTGTACGCTTGTGCAAAAAAAAAAAAAAAAGTTGGGAGAACTTTTATGATGCATTTATGATTTCTAGAATATACGATACCATGCCTTATTCTGTTTACTTTGGTCGTTTTTGTCACATTAAGAATTCTTTTTTATTCATGCTATATGATTTCTATGAAAAAAATGGAAGGTTTGCGGTGATGACGAACAGAACATTGTTTGAAACGTCGAGTTGGTTCTTCTCAGAACAGCACAACTCAAAAAGAGATGTTTTTCACATGGTGTGTGAATAATATCTCATTTTGAGTTGTGCAGTTCTGAGAAGAACCAGTTGTGTAAACTCGACGTTTCGAACAGTGTGCTCTGTTTGTCATCAGGAGACTGCCGGACACTTCAATGCACTTGAAGTGTCTGTCTGATTTTTTTTTATCGTGATACCAACATTTAAAACAAAGGAGTCTACCCAATACCTATGTTCCTCAATACCGATGTTCCCCGAAATCCTTAGGATTAGGGTTATATAGGGTTAGGGTTATATAGGGTTAGGGTTAGGGTAAGGATTTCAGGGAACATAGGTATGCAACCTAAAATCACACTTCAGGTGAGCAATTCAAGTGCCCGACGCCTTACCACTCGGCCACCGAGCTTGCCTGGTTTGGCTGGCTGGTTTTGAGGACAATACCGATACACATTATAAAATACGTTGGTGAAGGGCAGTGTGTGCTTCACAAAGAACAACTGTTGTATCATTATGTTCACGTGTAAAAGGACTCAACCTTAAACTGAAAAGTCAATAACAGCAAACAAAAGTACAATGCTTACTTCCAATGCTTTCAGTTTCGGTTTGGACGTGTGCAACTTTTTAATCCTTAACAAATTTGATTATGGAGGAGAATTCAATATAACTAAGGCTTTTATAAGCATTGGAATGTGACATAATACACAACTTTTTGCCATGTATCCCCCTTTTGGACCATGGATAAAAGAGGTCCTTTCTTCCAATTCGGGAAAATGAATTTGAAAGGAGGTAAAATATAAGCATCCGAGAAATCTACGGGTAATTTTTTTAAGAGCAAATAAAGGGAATATACAGCATTTCCTTTTGCTGTTATTTCCAGGAATGCTGAATTTGGGGGTTAGTATTATTTTTATAGAAAGTATTGTCACATTGACTTGTTTGAAGTTTCCGGTTCGTAGATGCTCGCAAAACCAAGTAAAACAATCATGTTCTTGTAATCTGGCTCCCTGACTCCACTGAACATTAAACGGAGCACTTTACAGACGTTGAGGAATTGTAAGGACAGGGAATCTGTCTAGCTGGCTTGTACCCGTTCATAGGTGTGAAACTGATTGCAAACAAAATACAGACTAACTAAATTTGACAAATTTGGAGCAGTATTTGAAGAAAAAAAACAGGTTTTTTTCCAACACTGGTCGGCCAACCAGCGTGGGAAATTGATACAAAGATACCACTTTTAAAAAAAAAATGACATGCAGCACTCAAGGTGCCATGATTTTACAGGATGCTTCAGACTGTCATTCACTAACAGTACAGTAAGGTATTTCGTGATAATTTGGTAGTTTTGTTTTTCGATGTTTGCAAGTGTTGTTTATTCCCTTGAAGGAAAGGCTCTTTCTCTAGTCAAGCTTACATTTATTTGAATGTCAATCCAGAGAGTCATTGTTTTCCTGCTCTTGTCTGTCTCGTATAGTTTCCAGAATTGATTGAGACGCTGAATGGCAACCCGGGCAAGAAAGTCCAGCTCTTGGGCCTTCAGGCCATGGGAACCGTCCTGGGTGTGGGCATTATGCTCCTCATCGGCTTGCAAGAGGACTGGCTAAGGGAGCAACTCGACGGATAAAAACCAGAAGAAAAACGAAAAAGATGCTCGCTGTGTGCTATGATGTAAGCAGTCTTGTAATCTCGTCCATCAGAAGTCCGATAACGAGTAAATCACAAGTCAATACAGAAGGCTAGTCACAGTCATCAAGCTTTCTTTTAGTACAAGAATCATTCAAATCACTCATGTACATTTCAAGTTACCAACATTTTAAACACAGCCACCGTTTTAAAGTTCTGTCCATGTTTCACAAATAAAGTAGGTGTTCTTTCATCGAAACAAAAACAATTCTCATAGGGATATTAATTGTTTTCATTTTGCTGAAAGAACACTCACCTTGTTTGTGATCCGTGGACAGCACTTTAAAATGTTGTTTGTGTTCAAAATTCCATAACTTAAAAAGTACATGAGTGATTTGAATGATTCGTGTACTAAAAGAAAGCTCGCTGATTGGGCTTTCATATCCTAGATTTTGAAAGCGCTACAGGCAAAATTTCATTCAAAAATTGGTCTTGCCATTTCTTTTGTTTTTGTAACCACCCTGATAATTGATAAAGGAATGCCTTCGTTACAGTCCATTTGAATAACTTGTGACTTAATAAGAAAAAAGAATGACTTTTGATGGACTTGTCAGAGACTTGTGTGGAGTTGTGATGGACTTGACGTCAACACCGTTATGTAAGCCACCATGGGCGTCGCGAGGGGGGGGCAAGGGGGGCACTTGCCCCCCCCCCCCTGGAAAAGCAAAAAAAAAAAAAAAAAAGGAAGAAGAAAAAAAAAAAAAAAAAAAAAAAGAGGCGCGAAGACAAAGTGGTGTAAATTTAATGAGTTGGGGGGGGGGCCAAAATGTCCCTGCCCCCCTCTAAAACTGATAAATCGAGAATGTGTTGAGAAATACAAGCATATTTTGGCAAAAAAATTTTTGCCCCCCTCTAGAAAAAATCCTGGCGACGCCCATGTAAGCCACATATTTTTGCCCAGTATTTTCGGATCACATATTTTAGTATTACAGTAACGCCTGGTGAATTTCTGGAGGTGCAGATTGTATATTTGTTCTATTTAAGGTATTATGTTTATTAAAGTCCGCTGGTGATTTGTTCCCTTTTTCTTGAATGGTTCTGCATAAAGTGTGCTACTCAGATGTATCGTCATGGTAACCCATAAAGGACCTTAGAGCATGTTGCTCCTAAAGAGGAATTTCAAATTAGGCTCTTGATGCTATGACGTTGGGGACCTTTACTTGTTTGATTCCTTCCGTAAAGAGAGCACTCGAAAGAGAGAGGCCCTCTTATTTGAAATTCATTGATACATTCGGACACTGAAGTACCTACAGCATTTAAGTGCATGGGTTCTTCCACAAAATGAGGCCACTCTGGTGGTTTGGGATTCACTATCCCTCCAAAAATTTGGAGGACGTCCGATTATTAAAAAAAAAAAATCAGCAATGAAATATGTAATTTTCTGAGGTGAGTGAAAGAAATCCAACCAAGTCTAAAAACGTCTGCTACAAAATTGAACATCTTCCACATATTAATTGAATTTTTTTTGAAAAGGTCAACAACAGATATTAAAAAAATAATAATATCTGAATGAGTTTGTCCCCCAATAATTTATGGTCTAACCTTTACAATAAACGTGTCAACAGGCAAGCTGTGCTGGTAGGTCCTAGCCAGAACTGTAGTACCCTTTTATTTGTATCTACCCGGCCACTTTCTCGAGATAATGCCAACTTTAGATGATAACAGCCCATCGATAAACCAAGCATAGTGTTAAAAAAAATTATAAACAAATACATGTATATTCAAACTTGTACATAATAGTAATAGAAATGCACTGTACATTGAAAACTGATCTACTTACAAACAGGGTAATTGGGAAGAAAAATTGAGACTTAAAATTTGAAATTCTGAGCTTTAGGAAGAGTTAGGAAAAGTGCTAACAAATCTCAAACCTGTATTAATCACTGAAATTTGCATATTTTTAGTACCATTAACTCTTTACAATTAAGATTTGAAGGTTTGCATGGTGATGACTGCAGTAAGTTAAAGAGTTACGGTTGCACCATGTAACAAATCTCTTTTGTGAGTCTGTGAGGTTCTTTACAATTATTTTTATGCAATATTGTATTTTACTGGGTCACAATTTTTTTTTGACAATCTCGAACTAAGACACTGTGTATTTTATAGTGCTAATACGGTGTTAAATGATGCCAATGTTTTGCGTGATATGGATATGGAGAAAAGATGAAGGTTAAGTGATGTAGGGGTGTAAATATAAAATAAATTTTGATGGTGCGACAGATACTGGAATATAAGAATATTGATTTATTAACACAATCTAAAATCCTGCTGGGTGTCTCTAAAAAAATTTCACTACATACATGTATACCTTTTCTTTAAATATGCATAAGCATTTGAGATTTATTTTACTTGTGGTGGAAGGACTGCTGTGACAACCATTCATTATTTCAAAGCTTCTAAGCGGATGAATAATTAAAAGTAGTTTCATGTTTGGAAAATACTCTACTCAGGTTTAATTACAAATGTAAATTGCTCAGAAAATGAAACGGGGGGGGGAATCAAGATTCCTTCAAGGTACAAAAGTATTAACAGTTCCGGACTGTGTTGGTGGAGGATTATTTTACCTTTGTATAGATTCATCAGTAATACATGTACAGTATAGTGGCACTGTTTGGGTACAATTTTCACGGAAACTGTTGTCATTATCTTCAACAGGCTTATGTCGTTACTTGTAAAGAGTTTTAAAGTATTCTTCTTTTTTTGTGGGGGGGGGGGGGGGAGGAGGGGGTTGTATATAGCACTGTTCACGTTAGGATAATAATTGCCTGCATTTGATGTGGGCAGATAACCAAGTCTGTGTCACATTCAGTGCACAATGAAAATCGCCCACTGGCACCCTGGCTCAAGGCCAAACCTGTGCCAATTGTACATATATAGTGTACCGAATACCAAGTTGTACTAGTAAGCCTATTTGATAACACAAGGGATATTCTGTGTTGCCATGGAAACATTTTATCCTTTTTGGTTTTTGAATGGTAATGAAATATCACTGCCATGAGCCATGCTGACACTTTTGAAATGTTGTTGTCGAGGCTACCACGAGTTCAGTGCAACTAAAGGGGGTGAGGGTGGGGGGGGGGGGGAGTGAACAATAAGTTTGGCTTTGTTACAATTCATGTAAAAGTGAGGACTTAGGATGGACTTGACAACAATGGATTCAGATATGAAGTACGAAGCACCCATGATGATTCAAGGTCACAACGTTCGTTGCGATAAAGTCGCATTTTTATCCCCTTGTTTTGAAAGGATTTCCTGCAGTTTCCTTTTACATTTTAAAGCTTTTGTCCATTTTTATTTAATGTCTGGCATTGGGTTATTTTCCTTACAATGTTTTCATATATTCCTGTTTTTAATTTTTGCTCAAGTTTTACTTGTATTAGTTATGTTATCGTTCCTCGTATGCACATGAATTCTTGAATTGCACGGCGTAGATACTTATTTTGAATCAATCTTGTCACTATTTGAAAAACCTGATTAAGATATTACATACAATTGTTGAATGTGGTATGATTACTGTTATTTTTTGGGACCTTGCTAACTGGCTCCATGAAAGTTTGAATTTCATGAAGTATCTTGGAAAAATCCACACAGAAAAATGAAAGGTTGGGTTTTTTTCTCAGAGCCTTAACAAACAAATAACTGGGACTGAAACCTGAACCATAACTTTTCCTGATTGTGTTTCCAATTTGCTAAAAGTACATGAATACTTAAGACCCCAATTAACACTGCCGAGCTATCACTTTGTGGGTTAGTTGTTTTCCTTTCGAACAACTCATTTAAAGTGCCTTAAAAGTTGCGGTATTTTTGCCAAAAATCATCGTCAAGTGTCACATGCCATATTTTTTTTAATGTACATGTAGGTATACTTAACAAGTCCATACGTCACGAGTTCGTGATGGAACACATAAAGTTAAATAACACCAGTGTATTTATGTAAGATATAACATCTGTTTGGCCAATAATAACAGTACTTTCTTTACATTTTTCTGTTTATAAAAAGGTCAACATCTTCTTGAGGTGGGGGTGGTTAAGTACCCTCACTGGAAATATGGGGGAAAATGTTGCAACCTGACGCCACTTTTTCTTCATATATATCATCTCAATGAAGGTCATTCATTGCAAAAATGATAAGACATGAATCTGGGACTAAGAAACTTTTCCAATTTTGTAAGGCAATACTGTTCTTGACTCTCCATAGACTCTCCATAGACTTTGTGCACAATCGCGGAAGTGACGTCAGGTTGCAACATTTTTTCTCCGAAAAATATGTGCCACTGAGTTATGGTCGTTGCAAAACAAGCACATTAAACACAATGTGCACAGCACGTTTTTAGTTCATGGCACTGCCCCAATCTAGCATTACATTTCAAAATTTAGTAGCGATAAACTTCGGGAAAGTGTCTTGTGCCAAGAAAAAGCTTTGTTGGAGAGGATCATAATTTAACTCGGGGGAAATCCCCTTGAGAGAAAATAGCTGAACTTAAATTTTTTTTTTTAAGGGGAAAAACACAAATTTGAATTGGCTTGGGAAAAGCCTTGAAATGTATGAATCTGTGTGAAAGATGAACTGACTTTTCTCAGCGTTTATTTTCTTGTATTTTTGTTAATTCTAAAAGTGTTTTGGTATAATTGCCAGAAGTGGAAAGGAACTAAGATTTGTTTGAGTAAAAATTTTAAAAAAAAAATCTGTATTCTTCTAACTTTGAATTTCAATGCCATCTTTTGTTTCTGAAGAACTGTTTATCTTAATACAATAAATAAATAATAACAGATAAATAAATAATAACAGATAAATAATCACAGATAAATTAATATCTTTCTGTCGTGTGTAAGAAGGTTCACCTTGTAGAGTTACAATCTCACTGCCAATGTTTGCCAAATGTAATTTCCCTTAAGCTTGTGCAACTCCAGCTCCAATGCTCATCAGGAATTCGACATTTAGAATTCCTGATGAGCATTGTAGCT